GCTGAAGATAAGCCAACAGGCTAACAGCATACTGGGTCACATTGTTTAAAGTGTGGCCAGCAGGTCAAAGGACGTGATTATTCTCTATTCAGCACTGGTGAGGCCACATCTGGAGTAGCGTGTTCAGTTTTGGGCCTCCCACTACGAAATGATATGGACAAATTGGAGAGTCTGGGGGAGGGCAATGAAAATGATGATGGGGCGGGGGCACTTGACTTCTGAGGGGAGGCTGAGGGAACTGGGCTTATTTAGTCTAGAGAAGACTGAGAGGAGATTTAATAACAGCCTTCAACTACCTGAAGGGGTTCCAAAGAGGATGGAGCTAGACTGTTCTCAGTGGTGGCAGATGACAGAACAAGGAGCAAGGGTCTAAAGTTGTAGCAAGAGAAGTTTAGGTTAGATATTAGGAAGAATTTTCTCACTAAGAGGATAGCAAAACACTGGAACAGGGTAACCAGAGAGGTTAAGGAATCTCCATCTTTGGAGGTTTTTAAGATCCAGATAGACAAAACAATGGCAGAGATGGTCTAGTTGGTGGTGATCCTGCTTTGAGCAGGGTGGTTGGACTAGATGACCTCCTCAGGTCCCTTCCAACCCTAATTTTCTACAATTCTATGAATTCAAAATCTTTGCTCACCATTGGCAAGTAAAATTGGCAACAGGAGAAAAGTGGGAGAAAGTGGCAGCCAAATGAATTGGACACCCCTGCTCCAGATGACCTCTAACCAGATGAGCACAATCCAGAGGTGGACAGAACAAAGCCACACAGACTGTTCCAACTCTGGTTTGTGAAACTTTTGAGACACGAGCTCAAGGGGGAGTATCTAGAAAAACAGGAAAGGTGACATGACAGATGTCCAGATCAGGAATGAAAGGTTTTAAAATTGTAAACAGGCTAAGTATAACATGAGATGGGAGAAAGAGGCTTTGTTTTTCAGGTGGTCATCCAGTTTGAGTTGTCAGCTAGAGTTCAAGAATGTAAGTTGCTTACCAGACTTGATACTGGAACAGAAATGGGCCCTTCAACACGCTTGCCTGCATGCTCCATACAGATCTTTTTGCTACAACTCTGCCTTTCTGCTGTATCACTTCTTATTAATAAAACAAAGCGGGGCATGGAGTGGGAAATTTGTATATTTTAATGGGGGTGGGGTGGGGGGAAGAGCAAGGAATTTAATGAGTCATTAAGCAATCAAGTCAGATTGGGCAACTGCATTCTTTTTATAAGGTATCCAGATCTAGGTTCTTAATGCGTACAAATCCTGTTCATACAAACAGAGCTACCAGGCATGTTTGCATTTATCTTGAATGACAAGACACTGATTAAAGGTACATGTAAATACAAGAATCAGAATGGAAGAGTTTATGCTTACTGCTCACATGTAAAGGACTATGTAAAATGAAAGGTACTAAAATATTAGGTGGGTTTCATGGGAATAACTGCGTGAATAAGAATCAGAATTTTAAAAATATTTTGTGCATTTGGTATTTTCTATAAGGATAGAGAGAAAAAAGTTCAACAAGAGTTCAACATTTGCTTTTCTAAAATTGTACCTTCTTGCTTGAAACTCCATTTTCTAACCAACTTTCCTTAAACAAACAAAACAAAAGGCCCCCACAACCAACAAAAACTGCAAATAACAACAACAGCCATTTAGCATCTCTTAGCATCATATAACACAATTAGGACCTAATGTTATACTGCTGATATCAATGTCAAATAACCTGTGGTACCAACTACTGTCCCCCACCATTATTTCTACTAAGTGGTTAAAAGTAATAAATGAATCCTTCAATATTTATATTCTAAGGGTCAAATTTGGCTGGTGCTGAAATATGCAACATACATGCCAAAAAACCATTGGTCAGACAGAAGACAGTATTATTATGAAAGTTGGAAAATTGGATTCCTGTGAGAAATCAGAGGAGACATATCATACCCTCCTGAGAAGTACATTTACAAAGTGGCCTACTGCCAGGCAGGCGGATGATATAAGTATGCAAGTCAGGCAGTAGCCCATAATAAAGCCTCTTCTAAACTTCTTTATTATTATTACTTTCCTCAAGAATAGAAGAGTAAGTTGTATTTAGCTCAAGTTTGACCTAAGCACAGAAATGTACTACTGAGGCTGCACTGATTGTTTCTGTCTGTGTAACAACAGGTATAAAATTACCAGTGTAAAAGTTAGACAAATTAGTCATTCTTGTATGGGAATAACTTTGCTAACACTTGTTTGCACTGGGTATACTCAGAGCCCATGTCCAGATGAGTGCAGACGTGTGGTATGTGGCACTGCAGACATGTAGACAGCACCACATAGCATATGTTCCGTTGTTTTCTGTCCTGCAAGACAGCAGCGTGGAGGGTTTTTTTGACCCCTGGATATCTAGGGGTCAAAAAATCCACAGAGAAAAGAAGTAGAGTTGCGCATATGGCGGCAGCATGGGCCACCCAAAGCTGGAGCCTGGCCAGCCACAGCTGCACTCCACTGCTGGCCAGGCTCTGTGTGGCAGGATTGCTGCTGCTGTAGCCCCAGGAGGCACCCAGGACCCAGGGTAAGGCTGCTGGGGCCAGCCCAGTACTGGCCCCAGCCTACCCTACCCCACCTGGGGTAACTTGCTCCGCACTAGCGTGTGCATGGCACAAATATTCCCTGGTGACAACTAGTGGTGGCGTAACATGGGCTGCCATTAGTTGTCCTCAAGAAACCAAACATTTATACATGTCTGGACGCAGCCAGAGGGTTTAAACTCGGAGGGTTTAGTTAGATCTTTAATTAAGGGCTGTGCTTTTTATTCTAACTCATTTTCCTCCTAAGTGTTACAGTTGTGGGCTTTGCTGTCTGGTTCTCAGCATCCAGCAGAATTTGGCCCACCATGTGGAAATTTGAGGGATAATCTATTAGGTTAATTTTATAAAGTGCTCCCTGCCAAGGTGCTTACAATGCAGTACATTATAGAAACAATTTACAATATAATTATATATATATATATATATATATATAGTTAAAAATCCTCTCAAAATTCAAGCAGATCAGAGCAAAATAAAAGGAAAAGGGAATATAAAAAAAGGGGGATAATGATAAGTAATAAATATAGGGCCAACAATGGTCATGATTATTATTTAAGTCCCTTAAATTGGAATACTGGTGTTTTTAAAAATGACCAGGGGTGAACCAAGAAGGATAGCCAATAGAACAAGATCCATATTCTGTGTTCCACTATAAAAAGGCACTGACAACAATGTCAGCTTTTTCAAAGGGACTAATTAGAAAACAACGATAAACTATTATAAGGTGTTTCCATAAGGAAATTAAAAAAATACAATGCCTAAGGAAAAATCATGACCCTTAAATTTTACCAAAAGGTAAGAGAATACGGAGTGCAAATGGCTCTGTCTATCCACCAACTGTTACTTTCATGTTTGTTTTTTTCCCCCTTTTTTGTTTGTTTTTATTTTTGTTTTGATTTTTAATGCATGAAGTATCATTCCTGCTGGTTCAGGTACAAAACTGTATATGAAAATCAGGTCATTGTATGCATGTAATAACGATAATTAGCAATGTGTGCATTCAAATGACATGATTTATGGACACGGCTGCATAAATGGTATGCTCAAATTAGGCATTCAATTGACCAATTAACTTGTTAAAAAAATTAGGCTTCCAGTGTCTTACGAAATAAGTAAAATACATGTTTGAATTTAAATATTTACTTTTTTTTGTTGATTACGTATTATGTTCCCAACTACAACCTATTTTATCCATCTATTCTTGATATAGCCACATGCAGCAGTGTGAGTTTAGTAAGGCCACCAAGTGAGTCATGGCCCAGAGTTTTAAAGGTCCTAAGGTGCCTAACCCACACTGCTCTAGAAATCTGGCCCATATGATTTAATTAACAGACAGTGTTAAGAACATGCTAAGATACAAAATCTGCAACCCAATAGCAAAGAGGGGTGCAGGAGCAGCGACTGGTGCTGCAGGGGTGGCTGTATTCCCTGCTCACAACCTCCCCATCACCACTGGGGCAGGCAGATTATGCCATGACAGCAACATTTAGGGACTTTTTTAAAATCTTCAAATCGGGTAAGTATCCTCCTCCCCAGCTGGTGGTACCTCCTCCCTTCCCATGCTGAGCAGCTCCCATTCCCTTTCCCCCACAAGCCACTGCCCCTGTCCCCTGCTGACCTGGGGTTGGGGGCAGTTGGGAAGGGAATGCCAGAGCCTATCCTGCTGGACTGAGCAGGGAGCCAGGCTCAGCCATAACAGCAGCTGCCGTGGGCAGGTTCCCTCTCCCTGCACCTGGTCTGGCAGGGCACACCTGGGGGAAGCAGTCAGAGAGCATGAAACCACATGCTGCTGCCATTGCCACTGTCCCTGGCTGAGCTCGGCTCCCCATGTAGCCCTAATGGAGCAGGGCAGGACCGGTTCTGGAGTGCTCATCCCCACATCAGCCAGGGACAGCAACAGTGGTGAGCAGGGGTGGGAATAATAAGGGGAAACATACCACTGAACATACTGGGGAATGGAGGACAGGGAAAAGCTTACTTGTTTTGGAGACTTAAAACGTCCCTGGATGTTGCTCCTGTGGTGTGATTCAAAGGGTGGGGGGAGTGACCGCATCACCACAACTCCTCTGGATCCAACCCTGGAGATACTGGTGGTCCTACAGAGACCCATTCATGTGGGAGCTGCCTGTGCCTTGCTTTGAACAGGCAGGTGCTCTCTGTGGAGCACATTTCATATGGCATTTACTCCTTATTTTCCCACTAAAAGAACTGCTAAAGTGTTGCTCCTTTAAGATGGGAATAAATATCAGCTCTTTGTTTCACTCTCAATTAGACTGAGATATAAAATACAGTAAAGTGCACTAACCTATCAAAGTGTACTTTGCTTGGAAATGGGCTATTTCTGGTCTTAAAATAAGTTTAACACACAGGTGTGTTGTTCTACTGCTGTTATGCTTCTCTTGGTGGGGTGATGTATTGGAAACATTTCTTGGGTTATTTTGCTTTTAATAAATGGTTGGCACAGGTAAAATCTAGTATTTTTAGTGGAAGGAACGAGTGAACTATTAACTCAGTAACATTTTCAAACAGGAGAAGGGGAAACGAGCTGAACAGATACTACATACAAACCAAATGGCTGCACTGACCAGTTATTTACAAGGCTTCAGCAACACAAGATATGCTGACTTTATCTTTAGTCATTGCTAGGAAAAGGAACAGGTGGTAAGAAAACCTACTGGAATCCAGGTTCTATTCCTATGTGTTTCAGTCAAAGATCATTGGAATTCCTTCCCTCAAATCCTGGTGTCTTGTGACTGAGATCTGCTGGTGACCTCCCATGTCTTCTCTGCAGTGTTTAAAGCCAAACTGGGTATTTAAATCGCTTAGTTCCTTGTTCTGTTTTGTGACTGCTTTTAAAAATTTTGCAGGAACTGCTGCTTGTCCTTCTTCAAAAAATAAATTCCCTCAAACAAGGAATATAATCAAGATCATTCACATTAGGAGAATTATTTAGCAGGCTCCATTCATGGTGTGGTTGTTTGAGTAAACTGTAGCTTATATGTCTTTAAAGTGTTAATTGGAAACAGTCAGAGATCTTCACTCCAGGGAAAGATGTGTTACTTGGTTCAAGTGGTAAAGACATTCACAGCACAGCTACTGACATAGTTAAAAAAAAAAAGTCATAAGGAGCAAGTAGTTTATAGAGTTAGCAAAAGGTTAACTTTTTTTTCTTTTTCTTTCTTTCCTTTTTTTTTTTTTTTTTAAAGAAAAACACCAATAGCTGCTCTGCGTTCAATACTTGGTAAGACAGATTTTTTTTTTTGCTCTATTGCTCCACACAGGTTTTGATTAGTGCTTCTCCTTGGCTACAAGTGCTTCATCTTGAAATACAAAGGTCTTTAAAAAATGTCATTGGAGGAAAGTTAGGAAATGGTAGTGAAGCTGTAGTAATAGGATTTTGCTGTCATACTCCCCACTCCCCAAATCCTCCGTGCTTCCAGTCTTTAGTCAAGGAACCTTTGGCAAGCCTTCTTCCAGCGACAAGCTGTGCACCACATATCTCTGTTCTCCATCCCATACACTTTCCGGCATTTTTTCCCCTCACCTCTAGGCTTCCTGTCAGAGAGAAAGAGAAGCCTGGTTAACCTGAGGATTTTTTTTTGTGTAGTTATTCTTTATTACCACAAACTTTTTGAAACGATCAGAGTTATCTATATACGGTATGAGACTGAAAGAACCTGAAAATTTCAGTCTGACTTTTTGTAGGCTACCATGATTATATTTAAGCAGGCAGTCCTGTAGTCGAGTGAGACTCATTACTGAGTGATCTGCTCTCCTTTCCTGAAATTTTTGGAGCTGCTCCTCCCTTGGCTGGTTGAGGACTGAGCAAGGAGACATCTAGTACACCCAAGTTCATTGTAAGGCTCAGCAGGGGAGAAGGCAGTTTAACATTTATCATACATTACATTTAAAAATCCTCCCTGGTCCTGTCCCATTGATGCCTCTCTCAATTGGAGAAGTCTAGGAATTGGTAACTAGAGAAACTTCATAGGCTATGGTATCCATCTTTTGCTGTCACCCTAGGACTGGTCCCTATAGTACATATGGACTTTACCTCATCCTGGGCCTGCATACATGGCAGAGTATTGGTTAGAAATGGAAAATCACAGAGGTTCTTTTGGGGCATGTTAAGCAAGACTTTTACTAGGTTTAGATTTGCAATACAAATATTTTGCATAATGGTTGGGAGGTCTTGTAGTTACTTCACCTCCACAGTTTTCCCATGTGGTAGTTATAAAAAGTAGGGTGAAAAGACATTAAATAATATACCCTCACCTATCTTTGGATTTATTTTGGCTATGGACAGAAATTACACAAACTGGTATAGTAGTTAGAAACTAGTTTAGATCTGTAACACAACAGAAGTTCAGTGCACCTAAATCATTTTCAAAATGGCCAAAAGATAAACCTGGATGGATGTATTATCAGGTTTAACTGATCTATGTTAAATTGGTTTATTGAACTTCAGCCCCAGATCCCCTCCAGATTCAAGTCAACTCGTAGTCCCCCAAGCATCCCAGGATACTTTGCACCTCCCCTGCAAACTCCCCCCTCTCAGGGTGCGTGGGCTAGTCTTGGCCCAAGCTATCTGCTCCAGCCCAGCAGGGAGGCGTGCTCTAGCATCCACCTGGCTTCTGGTCTAGGCTACTGCAGGCATGTGGCTGCATTTCCGGAATCAAAAGTGAGTATCTGTTCACTTGCTTATCAGTTCAATCTACACAGCTTAGACTAACCTGAGAAGGTTGAATCAAATAAACTTTGGGCTGTTTGACTGGCTGTATTTAGCTTTTGAGTCACGCTGTAAACTGACCAATGCATTCCTGTTCATGAATGAAAGTAGTGAGTTTGTTTCATTGCAGAGCCCCACAAGTCAGTTTTTGCCCCCTAAAGCCAACACTACAACTAGGAATTGTTTTTAACATGTGTGTCTTCAAATAAGTCCAAAGTACAAGCTACAGTGAGGAATGAATGTCACAGTGAGTTTAAAATATATTTAAAATGGCATCTTCCTATTCAACACAGGCGATGACGTGATGAGGTGACTGCAGGTGCTCAACCACCTGGATGATAGCGACCATCACCTACTGGAATTTACCATCCAGCGCAGGGTGTCAAAGGCCTGCAGCAAGGCAGCAGCCCTGGACTTCAGGAGGGTGGTTTTCAATGAGGTAAGCAGACTAGCTGGGGAGGCACTGAGGTCCTGGAGGGGAGGGGAGTTGGGAGTCCAAGAAAAGTGGTCGTTCCTTAAGAAGACGATCGTCCAAGCCCAAAGCGTGACAATCCTCATGCGGATCAAAGGAGGCAAGAGTGCTCAAAAGCCCCCATGGCTCACCAAAAGCATCCATGAATGCCTCAAAGCCAAAAAGGAGGTGTACATCCAATGGAAGGGAGGGGCCATCACCAAGGATGATGGTATCTTCTTGGCTCGAGATTGTAGGGGGGCTATTAGGAAGGCTAAGGCAGAGATGGAACTGGGACTAGCAACCCAGATCAAAGATAAGTCCTTTTTTAAATACATAGGAGGTAAAAAGAAAGTGCCAGGACATGCTTGGTAATCTGGTTGTAGCACCAGATGACAAAGGTAATCTCTTTAACAGATTCTTTGCTTCCATTTTTCTGAGCAGGGACAGGGACATCCCCCCACTGGGATTCCAGACAGATCCAGGTGAGGTGCAGCCAGGCCCAGGGTCAATGAGGACCTAGTCAGGGAACTTCTGGAGGGACTAGACATGTTCAAATCAGCAGGTCTTGACTATCTCCATGCCAGAGTGCTGAGGGAATTGGCAGAGGTCATTGGGGGACCCCTGGCACAGCTTTACAAGCACTCGTGGTGCTCTGGCGAGGTGCCAGAGGGTGGGAAAAGGGCCAATGCAGTCCCCATTTTCAAAAAAGGGAGGAAAGAGGACCCAGGAAACTATAGGCCTGTTAGTCTTACTTTGGTCCTGGGGAAGCTCTTTGAGAAAATTATCCAGGAGCACATCTGCGAGGGGCCAGCAGGGGAGGTTATGCTTAGGGGCAATCAACACAGGTTCATTAGAGGTAGGTCCTGTCAGACCAACCTGGTGGCCTTCTATGACCAGGTTACAAAAGCCTTGGACGCAGGTATCACAGTGGATGTAGTCTTCCTAGACTTTAGGAAGGCCTTCGACACTGTCTCTCACCCCATCCTCACTTACAAAATTAGGCATCTGTAGTGTCGACGCCTACACAGTCAGATGGGTTGCAAATTGGCTGGAGGGCCGCACCCAGAGAGTGGTGGTGGATGGGTCATTTTTGACCTGGAGAGATGTGGGCAGTGGGTTTCCCCAGGGCTTGGTCCTTGGGCTCACACCGTTCAATATTTTCATCAGAGATTTGAACAAGGGGGTGAAAAACACCTTGTTCAAGTTTGCAGATGACACTAAGATGTGGGGAGAAGTGGGCATGCTAGAAGAGAGAGATAGGCTACAACTAGATCTCGACAGGTTACAGAGGTGGGCGGATGAAAATAGGATGGGTTTCAATATGGACAAGTGCAAGGTATTGCACCTCGAG